CGAATGTGGAAGGAAATGAGCTGCGTGAACTCCGTTAACTAGAACGCGAAATAAGTCACCGACGCTAATTTTTCCCGCTTCATTGACACCAACTTATCCCCACCAATTGCTGGAAGTTCTTCCACCAATAAGTCATCTCGATCAATTAACCAGGGGCTAGGTATACTACGTTCACAGGAAACACGATCGACGATAAAGTCGCCTCAGAAATCGACTATTTAAAAGGGACAAAAGGCTGTCCAAAAGACACTTCAGGAGTCCGTTGAACTCTCGTAGAATCGCGTCATTGCTAACGGCTGATTATCATAAAAGCGTGTTTCCTAAATAGGAAGAAAAGAGACCAGGCTCTAGAAGGACACACTGGTCTTGCCATCTGGAGACACGCGCCGAAAATAAACGAGTGAACGACTGAACAGGTGAAAAATCGTCGAAATACTGCCAGAATAATAATCTCATAGATGCTCAATGAAACTCGGGGATTCCGAGGAGGTACAAAGGCTCCTAGTTGCGCAAAATGAAGATTGCAAAAATATTGCCGGAACGTGTGCACGTTCACTTTCTATACGCGGTCATATTACAAACGAGCGCTCCACTTGCGTGCGTGCAGTTGCGTGCTCGCGTGTAAAACCGTGGAAACTATACTCTACGAAATATTGGAGTACAGTCCACGAGGAGAAACTATGCTATTTCATTAAGGCATGACACGCTTCATCTTATCCCTTTCGTTCCGAAATTATTTGAAAATCACCAAAGAAATATTTTGTTGTATTTTTGTGTGTATTACATGGTAGATATAAATGATCCACAAGAACATTTTAACATTTTTAGTTTTTTACTTCTATCACAGTTATATGTATAATAAGAATTATGAGACTGATATGTATGCTGCATCTTAGTATTTTCAAGTCGAAAATATCGATATTATACAACCTAAATTTATTTTTAACCGTTTCACATCCGAACACCTTTTTTCTGGGAAAAAAATTATTTTTCGCGATGAGTTTACTCAAAAATAGTCCCAGTACGTGCACCTCATCTCTATTTTCACGACAAAACCGCTGGAAATATGATTTTCTAGATGTTTCGCATACGACACACTGGGCATTAAAAGGTTAAGTACACATTGAAATTTGTGTTATGCTGTATCATCTATACAAGGCTGGAAGAAACTATTACATACTCACAGATGTACATAATATTTTATTTCGTAATTTAAAATACATGACGTAGCAATATAGCTACAGTAGGAACGAAAGGGTCAACAGGGCAAATCGCATCCAAAGCTTGAACTAACGTGATTTATCGACGAAGTCTTATGAATACAGGCCAAAGAACTCGGCGAGTTCACTGCCTTATGCGATTTTCTAAGGCAGTAAGCAGGCCTTGGAAGCACATCAACGAATAACGTGAAAAACAATCGTTAATGGGAGTAGCAGCGCGATACCGAAGGCTTTATCGCGTGGCCCGATGCATCTGGTACAGTCAGCCTTCGGATCGCGTATGAATTCATGATAAGCACGAACAAAGGCCTGGTCTTTTCGTAATGATCCCCCTCACTCTCTGCAGGCTTCAAACGTAGGTTTCAAAGGAATATGCAAAAGGAAAGCCTCGAAAAATTGATAAACGACCGGAGTTTCCGTCGAGCTCTTTGGAAACCCACGTTCTGAAGACACTCCGTGCCCGCGCAACCGGTCTCCTCTTACAAAATCTCGGTCAGTAATTTCATTAACCGTGGCGTGGCTACGTGTACACGCTCCATAAAACACGTAGAAAGCTGAACTTTTTTTTTTGTTCTCTCTTGAAAACAAACCTTGGGACAAAACGCGACAGGAGAGGTCCCCGTACTAGTGATGGGCGATATACTATCGATATCTCGAACATCGATACTTTTCATCTCAAATATCTATATTTCGAATATGGATGCTTTGCATCTTAAATATCGATATTTTGTATTTATATTTAATGTGGCTATATATTCCAGTATCGATACTTAACCCATAAATATCGAAATATCGATACAATCGCTGCATTTGCCGTAACGTGATAGGTCGTAAGGAAAATGGACATAATGGAAAGTGAGAGAAATTTTCATTATGGAATTAGAGGTTATGAATTATACTTACTGCTTTTACGTCCCTCCCGCACCTTGTACGTCAAGTCGGTGAATGCAAGATCCACAGGCGGCCTCTTTGGTAGATGGGTGATCGTTTTCGGTTGTACCGGTACGATCTGCAACCGAGTACCCGAAACCTTCCTAGGTTGCAATAAAATTTCATTGGTATTATCGTCCTGCGAACAACTGCCCTCAAGCTTCATCTTGAACCGTTTTAATAGTTTTTATTCGACGATTGGGCCTCGGACGTGGAGTATATACAGAAAAACGATTCTTCGATCTTTGCACGATTTATGTATTATATTGTTACGATCAACTTGCAGTCTCGATGGCGAACGATTGTTCAGTGTCTCTCATCGCCTGCAAAAACGTACCGCTGGATCAGTTTATTGTCTCGAAATCACTTAAAATCTAATTTTTCTAAACGACGTGGACAAATTTCCAGCTAAGGTTCGCCAATGTTTGCCTTCGGGTTATGATGTGATGCACAATAGTGAATGTATACTATACAGGGTGTCTCGTTATAACAAAGGTATAGATATTAAAACCATCTAAATATTTATTAACAGTTACGATATCTCTCAAGTGTTCATTCACTGGTTGCGTTTACCCTATAATGTTTCTTTTCTCAGCTACATGACAGACGTAAGCGGGATTTCTGTCGACACGGTGCGATAAAACGTCTCAAAGTTCATGCGATCCGTCAAAATTCTCAGTGAGGCTCGACGAACGATTCAAATAATTCCAAAAGCAATGATCGTCGATAAAGTAAGGAAACTGAAAGGGATAAGTACAGCGAAGGCAAACATTTCCCGCGCGTCCCAGTATCACTAATTCGAATTAAGCCGCGTTCTTACATCGTCCGAACGGCAGTGCGTGGGAAGTTGAACGGGAAGGAAACGTAGCCGTGTGTCTTTCGAGGAAACAACTGCGTAGACCCATCGACTCCTATTTTTGAACAACCATCGTCAACCAAGGATCGCCTATTTCCTCTAATATCTCTCTAAAATTCCCCTGTTCTCCAAAACTCGAAACAACCCTCTGTTGATTTGTACGTATATGTGTATCACTCGATAGAACAGAGCATAAACTCCCGAGTGTCGCGTGGCCACATAACCATTAAATCGATCGATTCAACAAGACAACTTCTATGGACGATCTTCCACGACCGAGTGAAGTGTCAGCTCTCGACTGGCGAGTTTTGTAAAACGATCCACGAACCACCGTGTCCCGAGACTGACTGACTCGATCAGCGATCACTTGAGCTTGCAACCGCGGCCATCACCATTGACCGTCGCTGTTTGCTTTCCAGAGCGCTCTTTCCCTCTCTAACTGGCTCTTATCCCTCCTCTCCCGCCAGTACTCGCTGTTCGCTTCTCTCTCTGGTTCTGATTTGTCGCGACGCGACAAAGGAAACCGATGAACGGAATAAAAATTATATATCGAAGGCGTACACACCATATACCGTGTGTACTGTTAATACGGATAAAAATCCACGGTGAATCTCTGTTTTTTTTTTTTAGGACTCTATAGGTTGTCTTTGATGATTTTGGAATTTTTAACAGTAATATTCGGTGTAAACCGTTCCGGCCACGATTATTTAGTTTGTCCCGATTCAGCCTAATATATTTCAACGAGGACGTCGTTGCCGGCCCCGTTGTCAACCAATGATCGTTTAAAGGCGTGGGTAAGTGAGCAATTTCTCTAATGGGCCCGTCCCTTTTCTGGCCAACCGCGTAGGGTCGCGTTCTCCATTCGATGATGCACATATTCTGTCTCGATCGTCTCGTGATCCTGAAGAAAAGTGGGTATACATATATGCATATACCAACTCGTGGCGAGGAAAGATCGTGTCTTCCCAGTTATACAGGATTCGTTTATTATACTCAGTGGCGAATGGTGTTCTAAGGCCACTTCATAAGGGGGGCTTCGAAAAATGATTTTTATTATATTTTTTTATAAAATAATAATAAAGCGTAAAATTTAGTTGTATACAGTAAGAATGTGGAACTTCTATTTTATTTTTAAGGCTCTCCCCCGTGTTATCGAGCTAGCTAACACTCTGGTTAGTCCGTCACTGATTATACTGGAACTTTGTAAACGGTATCCATAAAGTGAGATAACAGATTTAAATGCCTCGACATTTCTCGCTGGATTTTACGTCGTTTGTTGTCAAAGGGCAGAGTAGCAATGAGATCTAAACAACGCCGATGTTTTCTGAACCTGTCTCGGGGGTATGTATAATAGCTACTTCGAGAAACAAAGGTGAGAAACCCGCTGTAAAGGAAAAAAATAGCAGAGTCACCGAGACTGATTAAAGATTCTACGCGTAGGAACGTTCTAATTACAGGAAATGTTACGTTCAAGTTTCTCGCGAATGAAACGTCAGAGGAAAGAATGACAGTGACGGCGGGAAAACGGGCTCCGAAGCGGAGTTTGGCAGAATTTTATTCGAATAATACGTAATGGGAAACTGTAGTATCTAAAAGGTATCGTTCTGAGCTTTAAACAGTTAATGAGATTAAAAATATACTACTGAGCTCTCTAAGCTGACTATTTACGTTCGTTAATTAAAGATCGATTCTGTATCACAGATTTTACACAGTGCCATAGAAATCCACCGTTATACGGATCGATGTATTACCGACCATTTGCATTTCCATCGTAGTTCCGACAAGAAAAGAAAAAAACGAAATACAATAGGCCGTTTCGATTGTTCGGTTGAGCGAGACGATCACCGCTTTGACGTCCGAGGTGTTCGTCCCGTCACGTTCTCTCGTCGTCGTCATATCCGTACGTGTCGGACTTAAGAAAGAGCGAAGTCGTTCATTTCTGGACTGTAGAAGCACCACACTGTCTCTGTTCGTTTAACCATGCGAAAACCATTGTTGACTGTATGCTCGTGATGGTCGATACAGTATCGATATCTCGAATATTGATACTTTTCAATTTAAATATCGATATTTTGTATCGACATTAATTTGATGTGACAATATATTCCAATATCGATATTTAACCCATAAATATAGAAATTTCGATACAATCGCTGAATGTGGATTACGTAACAAGTCGGAAGGAAAATGGACCAATCGCAAGGTCTAATAACGATACAAGCCTTCGATTGCTACTCGAAGTGGTAAATCTTCGTGGAAGGAAGGATTGCTTTGAGTTCGTCGAAAATGTACCTACTCTGTGATTTCTTTGACTTTGCATCCACGCGTGCATATTGAGCAAGCTACACGCAAAATATTGCTGCATCTACACTTTGTTTACAAACTGGGCCGCGAACTTCTCCGAAGATGAGGAATCTACAGTATATATGTGTATACGCAACACCGATATCGTCGATTACGTAAATGTCATCGTAACGATCGAAACATGGCGCGTGCCCTGTGATCAACCAGTTTTCTGCAATATCGAGGAAAATTCTTGGCGGAGTCTAACCCGAGAAAATTATATTAGGTACCGTAAGCTGGGGTAACTTTAACCAGAAATGAATATTATTCGTATAATTGAAGATTTAGTTAGTTCAAATTTATTACTCGATGCTGGTAGTTCTAGTGTTAAATATTTGGTTTTGTTTCGACGTTCTCGACGATCCTTTTACGTTTTCCTCGTACGACTCGCACGATTGAAGTCTCGTAGACCCCCGTGCAAAAATCACAATGTCATTGTACGAACTGTACATGCCTATATATGCATTTTGTAGGAAGACATATCGTCGTCTCGTTGGTATACGATGAACTGGTTTGACACGTGCGTAAGTTCACGTGTTCCACCCGCTGTGTTACATCGATTTACGTATGTACAAATACATATGTATATATACAGGGTGTTAATTTTAACTAATAAGTTTTACTAATACAACAAATCATCAAATGAAGTATAGTGAGATATAACAATTATGAGAATAGGATTCAAATAGATATAAACAATACATTGGTACTTAACCTAATAATAATAATAACTATGCTACCCTATCATAGAAAACACTGTGTAATTCAGATAATGTACAAGATACGAAATCGGCTCAGTTTGAAAATCAAAATTAAATGTGACAATCGACTGAAACGTGGTCGAACGACGAAACTGTCGCGAGAGAGGGAGAAAGAAAGACAGTTCACGAGAAGCTACCCGGAATAAAGGTCGCTTACACAACCAACAAGCGCAAAGTCCGCATCACGAGCGTTCCCTCGTTGTTTCGCGGTTCTGATAAGGCCCGTAATCATTATTATGCTCTACAGAGGGATTTCATATCGATCACTTTTTTGTTTCTCTCTTCTGTTTTACCTACCGGCTACGCATGTACCGTGCAGTGCAAATTGAACAGCGTGCATATATATATATAAAAGAATCTAAGCTGAAACAATTCGATTCGAATTCGTTACCAGTAACACACGTCTAGTTAATTCGAAATCAGATCGCGAGGCTATTTTCCAATGTTACTTCGATGCATGCTAATCGGCTGTTATGGTAACGTCATCGTAATAATCATCAGCAAGTTTCTACATCGAAGATCGAAGTCCATTCGCCGAGCATCTCCGAGAGTCGTAAACGCCGCGTTTTCCGTATTCTTATCGGTCGGTTTATCAGCGTCCGATCGACTTTTATCGAGAGAGAGAGAAACGATGAATTACACTCTGGTCAAGGTTTGGGAATACTACGTTTCATCCACAGATCGGACAAAAATGCACGCTATCCGTATTTTTTTACGATACTTTTAAACAAACTTGATAGCCTGGACTAAAACGGTTACGTCCGTAAGCAAAAAGCTGAAACCAGCGACGAATCAAGAGGGGTGGGGGGAATGGGGCTCAGCAGCCCCGAGTCCCAATTTAAGAATTCCATTTATGTAAAGAAAATAATTGAATGAACTTTTGTTTACTGTTTCCCTTTTGACGTAATTATAAATCGCACTGAATGTAGAAATAAATCGGAACATAGTTACTGAAATATTACAAAACATTGTTCGTTATGATTAAATGTTATTTAGTTTTATTGGGAATAAATTTTAATTTTTGAAGATATATGTATTTTATTGTATGTTTTATTATAACATTTGTTTACCCCCCCCCCCTGTATGTAGTTATTTGAAAAAAAAACGGTGACTGAAAACTTCGAGGAAGAACAACATTTAAAGAAACAACGCCTGCAGGATATTGACCACGTAATACCATTCAAATAACGTATAAAATATTTGTTGTGTTTTCACAATTAAAAAAGATATTCAATCACACTTAAATGAGACACTCTGTATATAAAAATGAGTAACTTCAGTTGTGAAAATAAACGAATGATTGAATATTGATTTTTTTTCAATTCCTTCTTTTGTATCAGAACAATTTTCGCGCCAGTTTAGCTAGAAATTCGATAGCCCCGGGCCCCGAAAATCTTAATCCGGACCTGACTGAAACTGAATCGAAATCTTTACAAAACCAAACCAAACTAAATCGAAATTTTTTGATAACCAACCACGTTCTATCGAGCACAATGCATAGCCAGATTCTATCTTGGGCCACAATACCTTCGTATATATTTGATCACTTGATCTCAAGGTCTCTTGGAATTCCAAAAACCCAGGTTGGGTGTAACACGTATTAAAGCCGAGCACAACATCGATTCGGTATCAACGAGTGTCTCCACGGATGGGTTCTAAGGCCTCGCAGAACTGAAGGAAGTCATTGAGAACTTCTTAAAAGTTCTATCACGGAATAAACCTCGACGGTGCACCGACACGACGAGATGCCGTCACGAGGCCATCGCGATCCATACATATCAACGCTGCACCGCTGCATGCCCTTTGCTCACTCGTGTACACACGTCGATCGATTGCTAACAATACCGCGATTATTTGAAAGGACAAACACGAGACGCGTCTTGCATTGAGGAAATGATCGGTAACGAAGCTTGAGGGCGGTTATAATTCATCTAACATACAAATTCGTTTAAAAATATAAACACAAGAGTTCGTTAAGAATACAGTAACTCACACATTCGTTCACAGACTTCTGAAGCAACAATTATGTCAAAACTTTTCTGCAATTTCTGGCTATATTTCTCCTTATTCTCACTTTCATTATCCTTTTGTGACACATTATTCTTAATCTTGAAATAAAATTCGCATTTTGCTAAATAATTTGTTCGAATCGAAATGACAGCTTTTCGTGAACAAATTTGTGAGTCACTGTATAGTACGTGTGTATATAGCTCACCCCTCGACACCATTGTTGATCAGGCCAACTTGATGGTTCGGTTTCCCGTTCTCCACCATCGTTCAATTCGTACTGGTATCTTCGAACGGATTTCTCTTGTTATCGAGATAATGATTCGATCTTCTGAAAATAACAAAACTATACACATATACCGATGACTATGCAGGTGAAATAATACGTCCCGATGTGATGTAAGATAATGACCGAACAATCAAACGACATGCAAATAAGCGGCTGTTAATGTAACACGAAAAACGGAATGACGTTAAGGCTAGACGCGCAACGGACGGAAAAGCGACGTACACGGTTTCCCAGAGTGCCCCGAGCATGCGACAACGCCAGCGCGCGGTGGAAACGTGGCTTCACATAGAAAAACACTGTGTCTATGCTACCGTACGTACTCGTCGAACATTCATGCTACGTACGCGGTACAATGATTCGTCATTCTTATGCGTCCACGAGAAAACCAAAGAATATCAATAGCTTCCATAATTAAAATGATCCTACAGGGGAGTCAGTAATAGCGATACAAGAATCTGTTCGCTGAAATTACCATCGATCACTGCGTTCTTTTTTATCTCGAACAACTTCCGTAAACCAGTCGGCCTTGACAACACACAGCGACGCGAAGTTTAATTTGTGAAATTTACATCATCGGACAAAAAGAATCTTGAACTTTGTCTTCCAGCGTTCTCTTTTTTTTTATGCTCTCACTTGGAACATATCTTTCGCAGTGACAGATGCTCCTAAATCCAATTTACAAACCAGTTTGCGATAAATCTTCGAAACGGAATCGGTTTTAAGCGAAAGAAAGAAGAAAAAGAGTGGATCTCTTAAAAACTAGAGACTCGGCGCGGAGAAAAATTGAATGTGGCGGGAAACTGTGTTAATCAATAAGCTTGTCTATTCTTATCGGTGGAGCGGCTCCAACGTCGCACTCCCGACTAGTTCCGTTGAATTTAATAGGACGATGCACGATTCTATGGAAATTAACGGGGGTACATCGATATGTAAGACGCATCGTGCCACCCCAGGGTTTAACAAACGCGAAATGAACAAAAGAAAAGTCGAAGGCTCGATTTGAAAAATCGTTGAACACTGAGCGCTACTAGCCAACCGAAAGAACGCGAGGTTAGGGCGGACAGAGAGAGTCCTTGCTCCAAATACGTACCGCCTGTTCCAGAGGCGTGCAAAAACGTTGTTTTCTAACCAGCAGATGCACCGTTCTTCCAGGGCTTGTATCTTCGCACTCAACAATCCGCGGTCGTGTTTTACAGAAAAGAAAAACTGGGCATACCACCGTTAAACGCCTGAGCCAGCACGAGGCGCTGACGTTCCAACTAAATGCGTCGATCGATGGTCGACGACTGTTGCACGCTCTAATCGCAGTCACCGTCCGATCGACGATCATTCAGCGTACATACGTGTAGCCCCACATTCCGAAATACAATCGGCGGATTGGTTGCCGATAACGCGCCGTAGGATTACACGCCTACTTAACTGTACCCTCTCCTTATGCATCGTAATCCCCCACCACCAACGTCTACTTTTCACGTTCTCCATCGTACTCCCATGTTTTGAATTCTGCTCGACCTTGTTACGCGCGCTACCCGTTCTTAGTTACGAAGATGGCCGCCTTCGTCGCGCTCTCGCGTTTCAGAGGACTCGCTCCGTCGGTAAGGTAGAGAATTGTATATCGTACAGTGAAGAAAAATTTACATTTTAACACCAGAACTACTAACGTTAAATATATACTAAATTTTGTTATATTGACCTGTATAATATATACAAAATAAATAAATATATATGTGATACAAAATAAAATGTAGTATAATGTAAAATGTATACTCGACCAAGAGTTAACAAATTCAGACAAAGGTTTTCTAGGATTTCGGCAATAGTAAAACAAAAAATTGGAAATCTGTCAACCATGACGGGTGTAGTTATTTTCTAATATTAAAGATATTCGAGTTTTGTAAACTTAACACGTTGAAAAAGGTTCGCGTTTGAAACAATTTCGAGAAAGCAAAGATTTGCATCTGAAAGATAGGTTAGTTGTAATAGACTGCGGAAGTTTACGAAAATACATATTTAAGAGAAATGAGTTTAAAAAATAGGACTGATAAAAATGTTTCATTATTGGAGGACTCCAAAAATAATTTTTTTATTTTGCATATTCTTCATATTTCTGGCATATAGAGGATTTGTTTACAAATTAGCTCGAGTAATTGTCACAACTTGCTCAATCTTATAAATTTAGACTGCGGTAGTTGATAAAGTTTCGATATGCAATGAATATGCAGAGTACATGCAAAACGAACGCAAAGTACATAACAGGATAAATTTGATGTACACACTTGCGTGAGTATTAGAAAAATCGTACAATTGTGTTTAACCAATGCATTTAGCATCATATAAGAAAATATTAAATTATTAATCTTCAATTTACTCTACATATTAATTGAATGAACTTCCAGTTTAGTAATAAAGCAAGAATACAAATGAGAATTGTCAGCAGGCAGTCACACCTACCTAGAAATCTTTATTACGTCGTTCCATAAATCAGTACGTACTGCCAGAGGAAGATTAGTAAATTAAGGACAGTGGATTTTGAATTTCTAAAATAGGATAAAAATGCATATAATATATTATAAATATATTATATTTAACAAAAGTTCTATATTTATCGATAATCTTTCTTTTATTCGTAAACTTTATGCAGCCATTCGCAAATTTGTACAACTTCGGGTGATATTCCCAAAGGTAATACGAATTTCCCAAGTCACACCACGAGGAGGTTGCTGCAAACGGTGACTCACCCTAACTCCGACGTCCCAACCGCCCTCCATTGCAAACAAGTCGCATAAGATACAGCGACATTTTGGATCGACTATTCCCATGAGAATAGCCGGTCACGATGCTACTTTACCTGCCCGAGAGGAACAGGGGCGCTAATCAATCCCCTAGACCTTGTTACATCTAACTTACAATGAGTCTTAATATCTAACCTTAATTCTAAGTATAACTAAGTGCAACCGTACCTCCTTCTTGCCAACATGTCGCCCAGTGGCCACTCACAAGAGTAACCGGCGTTTCGGAACGGGCGGAAAACTACTAGAGAAATAGCAAGGCCGATTCAGTTACATTGCACCGATCTGTCCGATAGCGTCGTCGTCGAGGAATATAAAAAGGTAGAAGGTGAAATTGTAAATAGTATAAAAACTATAAACGTTTTTATCCTATTTACGCGAAGTTTGTCGACGAAGATAAGCAAAGGGAAAACGACTCTTCACAATGGCGAAGGAAATTTTCCGATCACTCACAATTCGATCGACATTCGCGAAGCAGTCCTAATAGGTTACCGATTTTACGAGTGCGATCTCCTCCGGCCCGACTTCCAAGAATCGTATTACATAACGGCTGTCGAGGAAGCACAGACGAATCCGCCTGCTGGATCACCGCGTAAAATGGGACACGTAATGGCGGCGCACGTCACGGACGCAGCGTCTTCACTTTACGGTCGCGTAGACAGAAGGAAAGAAAAATGGGCAGGGGACTGACGATCGTCCAAATGCTACAATGAAACCAAATGGCGGAAACGCGCGGCAGACACGGCAGACACGGTAGTCACGGACTGAGGAACACGTCAACAAGAACGATTGCACGAGCCCAGGTTGAACGTTGGCCGATGGAACAGACGGAATAAACTAAATGGAATTTCTCCTTTATACGGAGATTCGTCAGAGAGGACGTCAAGAACTACCGCTCTCCACGACCGTTCAAACTAGACTGAAGATGAAACGCACAAGCGGCCAACATGTCCTCCTCCCGTGACGACAGTGCTGCCACCGGAACTCGATATTTCTCTCAAATATGTTGAATTTTCTTCGTTATTTCAGCAGATCTACTGAATCGAAAAACATAATTTGATTCTACTATTTTTATAACAGTAGTTACAATACTTTTGGATAGCGAACTTTAAATAAATCTTATTCTTTAGAAGACTGGCGTTCCCGCGCGTTGGTTGCGGAAGAACGAAGGCGACATCTATCGACAGCAGCGAACCGGAAAACGAAACCGAAAATACGTTGTTCTTTTATGGAAGGAAATATTCTCTCCTTTCTAGAAACATCGAGACGCCATCGAATTCATTTTTGTTTTCTACAATAAATTTGAGAATAAATTAAGAACAGTAATTTTATGTAGCATTTTAAATAGTGATTTAGGCGATAGTATATAAATTGCAGAAATAATTAACAAATTAGCACGCAGTGAATCATAATTTATTTATTAAATATATTTAGATTGTCATTCGTCTTATGACGAAGTACATGTATATATCATAGCAACTGTTAATGTCAACGCATAGTTTGTTATAAAAGACAGGCATGTAAAAAGAGGAAATCTGCTCGCAATTGCAAGGATGGTATATCATCATTACTCGTAATACCTGAGAAATAAATATTCTGCTATTAATTTCCTTTGTATGTACGCATTGTTGATAAGATATTTTTAAGGTACTGTGCAGAAATATACAGAGCGTCCCACGTAGATAAGTGTCCCAAAATTTCAGAACTTTCGGTAAACTTTACAAAAAATTCTGTTACACAAAAGTTGAATACATACTTAAGTGTGCACAACTTTCGTAAACCAGAATTTCTTTACTTTGTTTTTTTTTTCGAAAATATGGATATTATCTTCTGCGTTTTAAATAAAACTACAGCATTTCTTAAATATTCTATATTGGAACGAATTGTGACAAATCCAACAATTACATGTACGTTACAAATAAAATATAACTACTGTATAAATAGTAAACACGTTGTACAACATGGCGATGTATAAAAAACAGAAGGTAACATTCATATCTTTGAAGAAAAATTTAGATAAAGAAATTCAGATTTATGAAAATTAATCACACTTAAATATAGTTCAATTTTCGCTTAACACAATTCTTTGCGAAGGGTTCAAGGAATGCTTGAAATTTCATGGGACACCCTGTAGATCAACAAGCTGCGTTCTACTGCGTCTTACGTCGCTATGGGCGAGAACCCCCAAGGTCATGTTTTTGTGCGTATACCTACAGGGTTTCGAACGCATTGTGTCAACATTTAGGAGGCATGGACACCCCTGATGTAAACTAACGGAGTCGTCTGGCTTCTCTTTCCGATTCCAAGAGCGTCAGAATGTCTCCTTCTCGTACGGGACCCTTCACGTTGCGAATCAGCTGCCGGTTTTGTTCGTTCAAAAACTCGACTTTAACCTGCGTGCATTGTCCCTGCGAACCGGTCCTACCAAGAACTTTCACCACTCTTGCTCGTACTATGGGTTTTTCCATTTCTTACAATTTTTCAGCACCCTTCTATATATATATATATGTATATATTACACTGTTGCACAATCGAATGTTCCCAACAAATTTGGTAAAGTGTCGTACTGTATACTTGCCAACTTAGTTAAAAAATTATCTAACAAGTTTCTACGGATAGGTCTCAAGAAACGTGCAAAATGACGCAGAAGTGTTAGGGCGATTAAACGAAATTTCTTCAATCGAATGAATGCGGCAGGTTTCGATAAATGGATAAATTGAAATAAAATGTAAATATTGTAATGTTTCGGCTAGGAAAACCAACAAAATTGACCAGTTTTACTTTGGCAGCATTGGCGAAGGCGGGCTTAAAATAACATCTCCAAAGCTAGATTGGTCGGTCGGATCCCACGTGCTGGTGATGGAATTCTTGGCTGAAAGTTTAAATGCATAGAATCGCATGTGCCGTTCAAACTGTTCAAAGAATAAGGAACACACTTTCGAGGAAAAGTTCAGGATACACAAAGAAAATTAGTCACGACTTCCAGGGTTCGAGCTGAAATTTGTTGACCTGCCCTATTCTTTGGGACATTGTAATTAACTCCCCCGATTTCCCCCTTCAGGATTGTCATTCTCCTTCATCCCGTGGCCGTACTACAATATACCTAATGGGTACTACAATATATACGCTAGGTACAACGCCAAACGCTTTGCACGTTCCCGTTCAAATGAAACAATCTCTCTCAACATACGCATTATACAGATGTTTATTCATTTGTGCTTTAGTATAAACGTGACATTTCCTTGCTCAGAACACGGATCATTATAGTTGAAAATTGTTTCTTTTTATCGCAAGGATTTGCAGTACTCATTCTTTCTGGCGTGTTTCCCATTGTCCACGCTCGTTTCTTTTATACACACAACCAACTGATGTCGCGCACGCAAGCATGCACGCACGCACGCACACGCGCAGCAACCTCGGGCACACGTATACTCTTTTTTGTTCATATAAAATTACAATACTTGAAAAAGTGTCATGTAACCATACGCGATATATGGTCGGGCAATATACATTGTTCATACATCGACGTGTGGTGTGTGTGTATATGTGTGTGTGTATGCCTGAGTATTTCCTGTGTCTGTCCTATGTAACGTGTACGTAAGTCCCTAAAAGCAAAAATTTATAGATCAATTCTCCTATGCTCCGTACCTATGTCTATGTAATACGACGTGTGGTGTTAACGTTATTCGGATTCTTTCCAGCAGCAGTTCGTAATATTCCCTATCCGCGCGGCGACACAGGATTCTGTGTGTAATTTAAAGATTTCCGCTTGTTCGCGTTAATACAGTCTCGGTTCTCGCGAGCCTTGAACACAATACGCGCGGATTCGTGCATTATGTAATACAGTGGACTCTTGATATATTGCCGCCCGAGGTATTTTCCGTCCAAATGTATTTTCACGCATACGAATTCGGTGTTCCACCACGTTGCGTACGTCGTCCCCACTAGAGATGGCGTGAACTGCTACTTGTGAATCACGGTGATTGTTCACAGTGATTTTCCGTGTCATTTCTGATTGGTGGAGAAGATAACAACAGTTCTTTGCATGCGTCCCATAACCTGTATATTTTATATTAACGACATAAAAAAAAATGCGAAGTACATCGTATAAACTGTAAAGGAATAATGAGGAATAATGAAAAATAATGTATAAATTAATGATTATATTAAAAGTATATGTTGTATAATTATGGCAAATCATTCTTCCATAATTTCTTTTTTTCTATTAATTTTTAAAAACGCAAATATTAATGTAACTAATTTTCAAAGCATATTGAACACGTCTCTAAGAAATCACGACCATGACCGCGATTCTGCGATCACTGTGATAAATCACTGTTACAGATTTTGCACACTATCTCTAGTCCCCACCAGCACGATCCAGCTGTTGCGTAGACGTCTGGGCTACATCAGAGTTTCGCATGAGAAGTCCTCCCGACATATTGCCGCTTCTGAGAATTTTACTCTCATACAGCCTTGGTCACGGCAATATATCAAGATTCCACTGTATATAGTTGCTTTTACGTCATCAACTGCCGATTAAGGGGAACCGAGTATTCACGAGAATGTAAAGGAACAATTTAGCTGATATCCCGCGAACGAAGGAAAACCGGAATACAAACTGCAAATGATCGCGTTTAGGTTTCGGCTCTGCCTGCTGCCTTTGCACCGTGTGTATGTGTTTCTCAGTTATGTATGTGTGTGTGTGTTGTGATTTTGTGATCAGCAGTCGTAATTATCGAGGATGGTATATGTAGCAACGACGAAACAAACTAACCTATATTTCGTTCGATTTGGGTCTAAGGAATCTCGGTTTCGTTACGGAGCAAAGGCGGGACCGAAATCTAAACGTGGATAAATAGTTAATATATATGCACAAGTCCATCTGCGTAAACCAATCAACATTCTTTTGCTATATGTAGGAAAACGAAAGCCTAACTGTTAAGACGTTCATCGTACCTATTCAACCTCGGATACTCTCTCTCTCTTTCTCTCTATACATACATCTATGTACAATCTTTACAGAAATTTGTGTTTCTTGTCCACCAAACGTTTGTTCGCCGGCATTGAATTACAGACACTTCCAAGTTACCATCGTCGAAACGTCATTCGAAATTAAGTGGGAAATATATAATTTCAAGATTTCCAGTTACGCGAGTAAGCTTCTCAACAACGATAGTCGGATCGTGACAGAGTGCCCGCACGAGGATTGTTCGACAACTTATGTAAAATAAAAAAAAAAAAAAATGAAATAGAAAAAGAAGATATAAAGTATACTTGCACGTTCAATGCAATATCCTCGTTGTTTCCTGCCTTGTATGTTTTGTCAACTTGCTCGTTTAGATTATTAATAATAATAATAATAATAATAAGTAAAAGTACAAGGGATAATAATTATATAGCGAGTCTAAAAATATGGAAACTTTTTTGCCCTACCCCCCCGCCCTTGTCTACGACTCGTATAATTTCTTCGATAATACGTCATTAGTTTACCGATTTCTCCGCGAAGCATGAATTGTCCACTGGTTATAAAGTTCTCTTTTCTTTTCTTTTTTTGTTTATGCACCAACGCCACGGCAACGATCGTTCCATTTGATCCTTCGAAAAGTCGTTTTGCTTTCCGTAATTAATGCCTAATCCTCTACGATTTACTTCTCACCGTTTTGCGTTCGATCGTGATTCTTGCGATAGAAGTAAAAGCGGGCTAACCTTTCGAGTACGACTTTGTTAGTTAAGTAAAGAAGCACGATCCTGAAGGTTCCGAGTCGAACACACGTTTCTAAATATATACCATACATATGTATTTAGTACGTACGCGATAAGTACTGTCGCTCGTTTTTACGCGTGGCTAACAAGCGCCCATCGAAATCATGATTCGATCCTAACCTTTATACCTGTCCTCGGTAAAACGAAACGAACATATAACTGAATTTCGCAGGAGAACACGAACGTGTACATATATCCGGCGAATGATCGTTTTTATCCTATAGACGAGAAATTAATACGTGTAGAATTCACCTATAATACGATACTCGGAATATAAAAATACTTATACGACTACTATTTAACAAACATCGTTCCTACCACGAGGCGTACAAAGTTAAACTAAAGACAACGTCCACTAGTGGATTATAATTGGTAAGATTATTCTGTACCTGGCCGTGTTTCGCGGCTTTTACAAAAACCCAAAATACGTTACGCAACGATATGAGATCGGAAACTGAAGGACACTAAAATCTATGGTAAGTTTTGCTCCAGTTCTTTTTTTTCCTTTCTGTTGGCATTTCGGTCGTATCAGTATCGGACTAATGAGAACCTGTAGCGGTCGAGAACAATGTGCATACATGTGTATAGGCCGTGAACAGAATTCCTGTAAATGTCTCCAAAACCAGAATAATCTTATTTAAATTCGTTTAACGTATAGATTCACGGGCCTATTACTTTTCTCTCTTTTTTTTTGTTGTTACCGCTCGTTTCTTTCTTTCTCTCATTTAAATATACATGCTCCCCCCTTCACCCGTCTAAATTAACGCCTAATATCGTATAGTAATTGTAACAATGTGTTTTCAGCACTCCCATTTGTTAGAAGCAAACGCACAGGCAGCTAGTGATTGGTCAGATGTGTGAGCCTTTTACGATACAACGCTTACCATCTTCTCCGTTTTTGTTTGCCGCTTAAACGTTACAAGTTCGTCGTCGAATTTTATCTATTAAAATGGAATGACGATATGGGTAAAGTTTGATCGTGGTCACGTCGGAAATCATTTCGAAGTACAAAATACGCGCCGATACACCACGGATACACAAAACAAATGAAGGTATTCGGCGTGGAAAATGCATGTTTTTGGTGCTCCGATGATTCAGTTTAAAATTCCTTCGGCCCGACACGCACTGCGAAAACGATTATCAGGTTATTATCAACGTTCATTTTTGTGTATCACCGTGGGGTACTCGGGATAGATTTCGTAGCCTAAAACGAATGACGGCGGTCGATGTAAACACGAGAACAATAAAGGATCCTTCTCTAATCTCGGATCCGTTTAAATTCTATTGCTTATCTATCGAAAAAAAGTCTATCTTTGATCGCGTGACGCACACACGCGCGCTCGTTGGAGGGACCATGAGTCTTGAATGGGCCTAAGGCTCCTGGCGAGTTTGTAGTTAATTGGCTGTAAATGTTTGCGGTTCGATTCGATGCGTATTTATCAACGGGGTGTGGTCTCGTCGCGATCTGTTCAATCGATGATTTACAAATCGAATCTAAATCTCGCGTAATGGTTATTTAAAAATGCCTAAATTGTCTACGCGCACAAGATTCTTCCCCATATAGACCAGTGTATACGACGCGTAACTGGTGAAGCGTGAAGTAACCGTTCCACGCGCAGGGATGTATTTCTTTCGTTCTATAGTTGCCGCGTTTTAGAACGCGTTACCGATTATGCAGGTTCCCGTTCGACCTACCGCCGCGAGATCGGCCCCGAAGCGTCGTTTAGCATCCTTGACGCGGGATACACGTTCTAAATTGTTGGTTCGAGACGCGATGGTGTTGCGTACAGATACGGAACGCGAGTCGAGAATTTATAACAGACGTCTCCGAGTATCAGAGTTTCTGTTGTAAGCGTAAGAACTCGCGAAATATTGACAAGGAAAAAGGCTTGAACGGTAATGTGCATATCGCGCACCACCTCGATCTTTCGATGTGAAAAGACATTATACATATTTGAGAAACGTGATCGTGAGTCGTCGATGACCGTTTTCAGCGGTACAAGATGATGTCCGTTTGCATTATTATCCCTTAGAGAGTTACTACGCGTGGAAAAACGACTCGCGCGATCCCCCGACCGTGGGGGCTGTGTCCAGATGAAAACCGATACCACGAATTTGGATATCGGCGCGTCCGATCCGTCGTCGATATCTAACCGTCAGGGCTTCCGACAGAAACGTTTTAACGAAGAGATCGTAACTTCAGTCTCAGTACGAAGTAGGCGGTCACTCTCAAGAAGAGCAGAAAACCAGCGAGAGCGACTGCGTCCACCCAGAAGACCGCGTCCTGCATCGACATCTCTTCGAGGAACTTCGTCGGGCTCTTGAAGTGGCAGTAGGCGTCGGAACACTTGAGCTTCGCACGATTATAACCGTACACCGAGATCATAGTGCCCTCGAAACTGTACCTGACGTACGAAACGTACGAGAGAAACTTCAGGTACTTTGGAATGGCGTCGAAATTCACGAAGAAACCGGAGAACAGCACGATCGGCACCGACGACACGGGGCCAATGAATACTCCGGTCTGTAAACAGAAAATCGTCTGCCTGTAGTATCGACAATACAAGACACGTATATATATCACCATTATTATTATTAACAAACGTAATATTACCTCGACACTCATCGCTGCACCTATCACTAAACCGATCGACTGAGAAACTAACGCTGTCAATACACATATAGTTAAATACATCATGAATCTATTCGTCTCGAATGGCTGTGACGTCATGAAATACACAATAAAAACGTACGCTATAGAGTACACTATCTGCAACAGAAAAGAATACATACAGAAAACAGAACAGAATGTGCGGGGGGGATACGTATTCACGTTTGAAAGTTTCGTATACAGTACCTGAAAGGGGATATCAGCCAATGTTCTCGCAAGGTAGTACGATTTCACGGAATACCAGTAATTCAAATGCTCTCTCACGAACACAGCCATTTCCACTGGGACTACATACGGAGAAAAATATCGTTAAACAGATACGACTAGATATACCTTCTGAAATCGTGAATGATTGCTCGTTACACCCTACATATATACTTACAAGTGAGAATTGTAGGCATCATGGCGGTGAACATGAGAAACATCACCGTGAAAAACACGCAACCGGCGTTGCTCATCACCTGCGAGGCCTCGTTACCGATGTCGTAATAAATCGCCCCGATGAGAAACCCAACGATTATGTGCGAAATCAGCCTTACTCTCGTTAATGTCTGCAACGACAAAAGATTCCGTTCATAATCGTTAATCTACGAGCTCAATCAGGCACTGACCGCGAATCTGTGAGTGTACACAACCAACCATGTCTCGAATTTGCGACAAGAAGATCCGCTTGAGGAGGATCCAGAATTGGGTGAAACTGTTCGTCGGGAAGCCGACTCTCTGCTCTATACTCTCAGCACTGTCCAGCAACGAGGTCGTGCAAGATATCGGCATATTGATTACCGTTCCACCGTTAGGTTGTTTCACCACGCCGTTTGGTATCAATGCAGTCTCAGACTTGGTCTCCTGTTGCGGTGATACTTTCGCGATATCGTTAGGCACGGTCTGCACGGCATTTATCGCCGCGTGGTGTTGATAGTTGACGCATTTTCCGTTGTTCACAGCCATCACAAGCTTATGCACGCATTCCCCGTGTTCGCCACAGGCTACCTCCATCACTGAGGATCGAACAAAATTTCATCGTGAGATACCAACCTTTTACGAGTTTATTATGTATTGAGATTTCTGTTGCTACCCTCCTCCGCGCGCTTACCATAATCGGCTGGATTGTGATAGCTGGGGCAATCCAAGCTCATCGACGACAAAAACGGTACCAGACCGCCCACGTTCCCTTGATATATACACTGGCCCTCAGCCAAAAGGTACAGGTTGTCGAACATCTCGAACAATCGCGCGCTCGGTTGATGTATCGTGCATATGATAGTCCTCCCTGAAGAAAAATAGATAAACATACCCATATATAGTAAATCATCGATGAGTGTTCGAAGTGTTCTTAGTATTGAGTGTTTAGACGTTAGCCCCACTGATCCAATGAAGATGGTGACCCACCAATAATCATAATCACTGAACTTTGAAGTGAATATTTCGAGATATTGTTATGGGTCACGATTGACCCAGTCGTCGTCTTTAAAACTAGGCAACTACTCTCATTTATAATTTTTTAATCCCAATTTCCCGTCCTGTACATGTATACCAAAGGGGTCATTGCTCGTTAAATAAATAAGTAATAATATTAATATTAGAGCAGTTACCTCCTCTACTTAATGATTTGAGCAAATTCAGACACTGGTAACAGGTGGAGCTGTCCAGACCGGAAGTAGGCTCGTCGAAGAACATCACTGGGGGATTGTTGACGAGTTCCAACGCGATCGACAGCCTCTTTCGTTGGCCACCGCTCAGACAATGCGATTGCGTGTTGCTGGCGTCACTTAGGCCGAGCGTCTCGATGATCTCCTCGATCTGCAGCAATAGTTCGTTAATTATCCCGGGTTACAAATTGTTTGACGCAAAAAGGAAGAAAAAAAAATATCATCGTACCACCACTTTCTTCTCCCTGGCGTCGATATCCTTTCCCAGTTTCAGATTCGCCGAAACCTCCATCGCTTCGTAGACCGTTAGATGCGGCAGCAGACGATCATCTTGCATTATGTACGAGGACATCTTCCGAAATCTTCGGAGATTCCTGTCCTTTCCGTTTATCAGAACGGATCCGCTCAGGTGAGACGTTCTGGAAAACACGTGGAACATATACAGAGTGATACAAAAACAGATTTCATAACTTACAGGTTAGGTAGTACAATTGTGAAAGTATTAATTTTCCAATGCATATTTGTTAGAATTTTTTTTCATCATTTAGTCAGTACAGCATTTCGTAGATCACTGTCTGACTGGTTATACACGATTTTTGTCAGGGCGTCACCGAGTTCTTGACAATAATCGACAGTACACTGTACTATCTACCTTAGAAGTTACAAACCCTTTTTTTTCATCACTCTGTATAACAATTACTCTCCAAGGCTGACGCTTCACTTTATTTTCTTTTCTTAGGGTGGATACTCACTTGTAACCGGCCAACACGTTCATCAGCGTGCTCTTCCCGGCACCAGAGGGGCCCATAATGGCGGTCAGCTCTCCAGACCGAAATTTCCCGTTGACGCATTTCAGAATCGTTTTGTACCCTGCAACGCGAAAAAGGTACCTTGTGACAGCAATTGGTCCGCGTCATGGAACGTTTTTAAGGTCGTGTACTTTTTCTTTTTTTCCATCGACTCCCCCCCCCCGCCCCCCATCGTTTTATAGTCGAGTTCAACTATGAATTTACGTAACGTCGTCACTGCCAAAATAAAGCCCGCGATCTTGCCAAGTTCACACACACACACACACACACACACACACACACAATGTCGTGTGGTGAAATGGCATAGGAATTTGGTTAAAGCCTCCTCTAGGTCTCGCGAAACGAACGAATCCTCTGGGTGACCTCTTTATCAGTGGGTGCAGTTGCACCGCTGAGGTGCATCTGGACCGAAACAGGAATCAGCCTCTACCCCCGCGCTTCTATTGATTCTTTTTAGCCAGGTCGTTCACACACGTGTTCCCGGGCACAAAATGCCAATATGGATATAAGTGTGTGTGTGTGTGTGTGTGTCGTCTTCGATCTCCTTTACTCGATGGATCTGGGGGTGGGTTCTCCCTGGATTTAGTTCGGTTCCGGCTTAGCCGTAACCAATGAACTAGTTTCTCGTGAAATGCAAGTTAACCACAGTTGGCCTACACGCGGTATATTCGACATTTAAAAAAAGAAAAATAAAGAAAATTTTTTTGACGATTTGGATGAAAATTTAATGGCAGATGCACAAAACCGTTCGCGAACAGATTTTCGAGATATAAAATTTGTATCTCGTGTTTTCTTTAAAAAAAATTCTTAAATGTCATCTTTTTCAGCCGGCTAAGGAGAGAAAGGGACCTTAAGGCGAATGATTCATCCACATTGAAATGTGTAAAGATTATTTTCATCATTCACAGATTGGAATCATCATCTTTGATGCACCATCCGAAATGTAAATTTGCCTTTACAAGGTTTCGTTTCCCTCGTCTAAATGTGTATAATACCGTATTTCCATGTTACCTCTCTTTCTCCCCTCGGACACGCTGTACGCCAGATTTTTGAATTCAATGTCAACCGGTGGCCTCTTCGGGAGGTGCGTCAACGTCACTGCCGGCCTCTTGCCATCCTGGCCGGGACTATGGTTCGGTACTTTTCGCGCGAACATGCTATTACTGCACATCGCCGCAACGGCGACACTGTTCGATGCGTTTCCGTTGCAGTTGCAGTGAAGATTGTTTTGAGAGCCACTGCAACACAAAGAACATTACACAATGTGGGCCTGCTTGAACCCTTAGTCGAAATATCGATACTGCATCGCCCATGATTACGTCATATTAAATATCGATATTTGAATTGAAGAGTATCAATATTTCAAATATCGATATAGTATCGCCCATCACTAGTTCGTATGGTTCCCGTGTGATTGCGTAGTTCGCGAAAAGTTAATGTAATAAAAACTGTCTGCGGACCTTGACGCGGAGAACAGTAAAAACTTTTTTGATAGAATCTGAAATACTTATTCGCGTCGAACATTCGTCGTAAATAGATCGTGTGAAGAACAAACAACGATATTCCTTCCTCCGACTCTCGCTCGAGGGTAAAACCTAGAAAGAAGATTCGTTTTTTTTTCTTCATCGAACGTGTCAGTCTAAAATGTACGCTGGAAGCCGTGTCAGTTAAACGCGGCATGGCGGACGTAATTCAATCTTTCCATTTATAGACTCCGTTTTTAAGGTTTCAGCGAAAAAAAACAACCGAATAACAGTCGGACACGTACGATCTACCGAGGCAACAACCGTTTAAATATTAATAATTTTTTATAACAGGCGAAAATTGGCCCACTATACGTTCAAATAACAGAGAGACGACATTATAATACATTTGTTTATCTCTTGTATTCTAATGGGATATGTACCGTAAAATAAGTAAATAAATAAAATAAATAATAAAATTAAACTTAATCATAATTAAGATTAAAAATTTTATTCAATTCTACGTCTTAATTCGCTCTGTCTTATAATAACGAATTGATATCGTATCCATCTGTCCACAACGATTTGCGAATGCAGACGGAGAAAGAAAAAATTCCAAAAACCTTGTCGCGTCGAATTGAGTCATTTCTCGATTGGCTACACCTGATCGCGCGGATTCGAGCCACCTGCGGAAATCGCGGTTCACAAACAACTTCTCTCCGTGTACACGATAAGAATGCTCGTTGCGAAAAAAGAAAAAAGAACAGTGCGTACACACACGTTTTAAACGCCATTGTTCCTCCGGCGTAAAACAATATACATATACAGGGTGTATCAGAAAGCAGAGTACCTCAGATTAACTCGAAAGAAGAAACTTCTGGCAAAAAATGTTGGATACAAAAGTTTTAGGGTTTAAAAAGAGACACCTGACGACGGACTTGATCGTAACACAGGTGTCAAATTTAGAGGTTATTCTGAGGTCTATTTTTAGCACCAGAAATGGAAAAACAGGTTATTTCAATCCCAGGATATGATCACGTATCTGAACGTAAAATTATCCGTTCTTTCTATGTCAAGACTAGATTCTACTATAATGACCTCTAAATTCGATCCTAATATCATGATCAAGTTCATCATCAGGTGTCTTTGTTTAAACCTTAAAACCTTTGTACGAAACATTTTTCCCTAAAATTTCATTCTATCGAGTTAATCTGGGGTACTCATATTTTTGGTACACTCTGTATAACACGTGCACTGCTCGATGAAACGAACAAGGAGGGGGAAGGAAAAAAAAACCTGTTCGCAGAAGTTCCTATGTCTTGAACCACGATCAATGGAAGGACCTTGGGTGCCGTTTTAGACATATTTGGGGGGAGGGGGAGGGGGTGTAGTGCCTGGCTCGCGTGTTCAACCCTTCCCAATCATTCATTGTTTGTGCCCTCCGTGGAAACACCAAACAAGAATTCCGGTTTGGCAGCGGAACGACGAGAGGGAACCGCATTACGAACGGAAAGGTCATGGATCGTATGGAGAAATCCAATAGTTTTGTGCTCGGAACACTACCGATGATTTCATTCTTTTGATTGGCTGCATTCGTTATTTAAACAGCAATCGCCAATTTAAGCGTAATTTAAGCGTAACCCCCCTAGAATATCATTTTTAATTGCGCAAAACGCAAAATGTTATGTAACATCAGGCTATATAACATTTTTCTTTCTATTCTTTTTTAACAAGTTTTATAACTTTGCTATATTACATGTTATGTTATATAGGGTAAACGCAGCTTTAAGTAAATCACCCTATATGAAGAAAACTTCGATCGATCGATCGATGCGCTATTTATACAACGTGCAACTCCCCCGAACATTCATTATTGTTAACGACTTGGAAAAATGTCGTTCTCAGGAGACTTCGAATGGGTATCGCCGATTTACGAGGTCAGGCTATTACCTACCAGCCGCTTTGTACGAAACCGTGTACGGTTACACAATTGCATCGCTTTTTTTATCTATACACCTTTATCTTTGTATTCGCGATGGAGCTTGAGGAACGCTGCTCGGATCACAATGATTCCTCAAAGAAAGACTTTAATCCCCTAAAATATATGTCGCTTGATACATATAGGCTGTCCTTTTCATCCGAAAGAAAATTCGTACATAAACGATCGACGGAGATAAATGTGCTACCAATGCTTTGTGGGAGCATACAGACCTAGGACAACTAAAAAGGGGTCGATTTTTGTGAATCTTTTAAGAAGAATCTAGGAGTTTTTTTTTGCTATTGGAATGTCGATACATTGAACAATTTTTACAAATATTTAATATAATTTATTGTACTGATTTTAAGTATTCTAACTATAAGGAAGGTTCAGAGAAATATTTTCAACCGTTAAGTAATGTTGCCTAAATTGGACCAAAAGTAGTTGCCTAGATTGGACTCCATAGAGGGTGTCCCACCTAACTCTGCCACCCTAAATTATTCTCTTATTTGTCACGATACAAAAAAATGGTTCGAACGAAAGTTAGTGCATTTTAGGGGGGAAATTAGGCTATGAGATTGAAGGTCATCTCAAGGTCATATCTTCTGAGATTTCTCTAATGGTACGTTTTTTTTAAATGGAATCCCCTATTTTTTGGTACGCCATTACAACGAGGAGATCAAAACGTGACAACTCTGAAAATGCCGATTGGCCCAGACATTTATGACATTTTGTAAAGTAATTTATTAAGACCCAAGCAAAAGTTGATTAAAAATTACAAAAATCTTTTTTTTACAAAAAAAAAAAACTTCCGTTGCGTTTACCTGAGGACCGCATTGTTGAGGTTCTCCAAATGCAGCGTGGGCGGAGGGGATTTAATCGTCACCTGGTGGCTTCCGCCAGGTATGAATTGCACCTGTTCATCGCCACTGTATCTAGGTCCTCCAGCTACGGTGCTCAGTGTGAGATTCTTCAAATCCGACATCATATGCTGATGCTGAAACGATAAACATTGCCGATTCAATTTTTTACCTAGTCCGTCGACAACTTGTTGGAATTAGAATCTTTTTCTTGTGTATCGGAAATACAGTCATGTCTCGATGAGTGCGACATACTCAGCTCCGCTTCGGAGCACTCATGGCAAGGCAGAAAAGTTTTCAGCCGCTCATACATTCTTTTCTGTTTACGCTTTTTTAATTGGTCCCCCCAGTGGTGGGAAAAACGCGGTTGTTCGTGCCGCACTCATCGAGGGATCGCTGTATTTGGAATTCGAAAGTATCGATATTAAGCAGATAAAATACAATGCAATATAACATAATACTGTACAATAAGAAACGTACAGTAAATCGAAATCCAACATAATTTCCGCCAAAAGCAGTATTATAATTTCAGTTATCGTCAAATGAGACTCGTAAGTCATTTTGACGGATTTGGTAGCTCCAGTGTTTAACCGAACATTTCTGACTGTAAATAATTCGCAGACCAACGAAAAAAATAAAGAAAAAAAAGGCTGTTTCGACTGAATCAAATAAAATATCACAATCCACATTACTCTTTCCAAGTGCATTTAAAAGCAAGGACTTCGGAACTGAGTCCGTGGACAAAGAGCTTTCCTCCTTTTTTCTCGTTCTCTACCTCTGCATCACCGGTTTCCGTTCGATTCAGTCTTATTGCCGTGTCCATTAACGTCGGGACAAATCTTAACATTATCTGCTCACGTGGCTGGAGAAGTGAAATACCATAGACATCGTTGCTCTACATTTTAAAAAATCGAACCGACCTCTGAATCTTACCCCCTTTTTTGCGTGAATTGCACCCCTATGTCATGACCAAGATCACCATCAGATGCTTCTTATTAAGCACCAAAATTTTTTGTTAATCTGATGTATTCATCTTTTTTGGTACACCCTGTATGTAACTTCAATCGTAGGCTTATCTGTTGATTTCTCTTGTCGCTATATAAACTACTGTTACACCTCGTCGAGGACCCGCGACATGTGGACACGAGTACCAATCAAGATAAGAGGGTCGAAATATGTGACAATAGACGGTAACATTAACACTGTCTTGTACAAGATCGATTGAAGTGGACGGCAAATAATCATCTTGAACTATTCGATATATAATAGCAGCGCTGTTCCTGGGTTGTTGGCCGCCCGGGTGTAAAAACAGTATCACAGCCCTGATTAATTTAATATTATTCAATTAAGAATTTGATATGCAGTGTTTACTTTTATATATATACATATATATATACATAATACAATATTTATTTTAAATAAAACCATTTATTTTTCAAGGATTTTTGTTTCATTTTATGAAAATAAAAATTAAAAAATACTTTTATTTTCATAAAGTAATTTTTATTATTTTCATAAAATGAAACAAAGATTCTTGAGAAATGAATGGTTTTATTTCAAATGAATATTTTATTCCACATTAAGTACGAAACTAACGCATAATATTTGTAATAATGATGTTAGGGTTGACAAATAGCGACCATTAATTAACTACACGAATTTAATCCACCAAATATATTATTATTCTGACTAGTCCAAGTTTTACAGATAGTGAACGATCCCACTACCTGCACCCCCGCCAGGAACGGCCCTGTATAATAGTATAACACGTTGATACTTTCTCAAAGACGATTATGTAAATGATGAGATTTTCCCTATTTTAACGTGCCTCGATACTCATCGACGATGATGAGCACAAGTAATGCCAAAGATTGGCCGTACGCCAAGAAAGAGACCCGTTCTTTGCAAAAGAATCGAACAGATGTGAGTTTAGGCTTTTCCTATTTCCGGATTCGTTAACGATTTCCCGAAGTAGTGTTGCACAACTACGAAAAAAACTTCGCCAATTTCAAAAACGTTAGCGTTATCGTCGATTCGAACGATTGTAAGTACAAAGTATAGAAAGATATGATAACGAGTCTCACAAATCCCCTAGGAATTTTATACAATATTCTAAAATAGAAAAGATTAACGACGAGCACGATGTTACAGTCATGATTATGGAAATCTTGTGTGTTGCCTCTAGAATTCGAGCTCGATTTGTTCGATGAAAATCAATAGAAGTTAACGCTTCGTCCACACACACTGACTCGACCGGCCGAGCAGCAGCGTTAACATCAATCAATTATCATGTGGCCAATTTTAAAGTGTCCACATTTTTCAAAATTTGTCCATAAAGAGGACAAATAGGACTATATCCTCATTCTTTTTTCAAATTTTTCAATAGTGCTTCGCTATTATAAAATTGCATTTCTGTCAAAACAATTGCAAAATAAATAGTTAAAAGGTATTTATAAGAACTGAAATAATTTTTATGAGATTCCCTTATGTCTCCTCTGTAAGCACCCAGAAAGCTCATTTCTATCAGGTTATTAGTTTAACAGTTATATTTTGTTGAAAAAAGGTTAACATTATACTTCAAACAGCTGTAAAATCAACAATTTGAAACATTTTCGAAAGTCCATCGGTATACGTTTATACACAATTAAAGACTGTAACATATCTAAGTTACAACAAAATCCGAAATGTTACTCCAAAGTGTCCCATTTCACGTGCAATCACACCTATATACCTTTTTTGTCGTGTGTTGTTTCATCGATAAAGATAACTATTTCAATCACGCCGAACACAAGGAACTCACGAGGATCCCGCCTGAACAGGAAAGAACCGCGAAAATTCAAAATCGAACGAAAGACCAGCGAAATCGTCGACAGCGTGACGGATCATCGACCACGGTTTTGAAACGCGCGCGAACACGTGTAAGAAATTCCACCGACCACCACACATACACTCACATGTGACTACTATACAGCACTACACTCGCTATCACTCGTGAACGAATTTTATCACACACGCATATATATGCAAGGCGGCCTCGGGAGGGTTCAAGTGTTTTTTTGTCTACATCAAGACGATTGGTCATCGACATCGATAAGCCTTTGAAATTTCATGTCGATCTCGATTGCTTTATCCGAAGTAATTGCCGGCTAAAGAATAAATCAACGAAATCTTGGATCAGGTGCGATGAGTTTTAATGTCATCGAAATTGATAATCGATCGGAACCCAAGACGAATGGCCACAGAACACACGCGCCTGTTTAACCCTAACCTACCCTCTACGTTTTCACATTGATTTACGTATTGAATCAAAAGTACTAGGTTGTTGAAGGTCAAGATGGTTATAAGGATCGTATGGACTATTTTTATCGTTCGGCCAACAAACTGACTACACTAGACGACGGTCTTTGTATTACGAAAATGATTGGAAAGGGTGAACGGCCTGGCGTTGGCGTCTGTCATCGTTGGTTATTACATAGTACAGTGTATGGGCACTTCCAGGCGACGAACATGGGGGGGGGGCGTTCGACGAGAGTCGAAAGAACCGCAAGCCGGCTAGCGATTCAATTCGCATGAATTTCTTAATGGACACGTGTAACCTGAAATGGTTGCCACGACAAAAGCGTGCTCGTTAGAACATCGATCCAACCGCCTCCGCATGTTCATCTCATTTCGCCTCGCGGTTATCGAATTATTCTCATCGTTTTCGTACCGAAATTTTCCAACAATTTTACCGTCCACGTGTTTTGCAACGACATCTAGGAACGTATGTATATGTCTCCCATAGAATCGAACTGTCAACGAACGGATCGTCGTATTGTAGAACACTGTTTTGCATCGAAAGGATCGAGCCCAGCGCCAAGAAGATCACGTCAGTTTGTCAATTTACGTTGATAGTGGGGGATGAATAATATGACACATAATTCATGGGATTCGTAGGATGTGTTTCCAATTCTTTTTCTCGAAAGTCATCGTAGATAATGTTACGTTGGTAAAAAGATCGCACCGAGGATCAACTAGCGTCGCCACTGCGATTCTCAACGGGTAGAGGGAAACACACGTTGAGAAGATTCGTGAAAAATAACTGGGTCATCGTGTAATATGCAAACAGGAGAACGCTCGTCAACCGTGTTCTCTGGTCTCTGTAAAAATGATTAAATTGTTCGACACCAGCTCGTTGTTAGTACTACGCTATACTTTTGTAAACACCTCAGCGATTCGAAGTGACAGTGGCAAGAAGCATTGAAACGGAGAAACAGAGAGAAAGAAAGAGACTAAATCAAGTAAAGTCTCTATTCGTAGAGAGATCTCTAGTATCCCTAGGAAACAAAGAAAACCGTTTAACCCTCCAGATGGAATCGGAATTTTCAGGCTGACCACAGGATTGACAAAAAAAAAACGGTGTCCGTGAAATCGGTTACAGGCGATAACAAAATCCGACTCACCATAGGTCGAATGTAGATTTAAGTATACTACCAGCGTCCGGATTCATACCCCAAGGATGACGCTGCTGTGTGCATCCTCTGCTTCTACGCCCGTTCCGTCCTCGTCTCACCCTGAACACAGTGTGCTTTCTCCCCCGCTCCCCTAGTTTTCAACGAAGATTGCAGTTAGGATCACACAACAATGAAAATAACAGCAGTTGTGGCTATTGACGTTCTTCCTTTCTGTATCCCGATGTACACACACACACACACGTGATACGCTTTTAATCCTCGCCTTTGTTTTCCCGACGATCGATGATGAGCTGTTTTCCGAATTGCGAGACGGTAGCATTCGTTACCCGAGGGTCGAAGACGGTACGGCGCACGATCTCGATCAGGTTGTTCGATTAAATATAACACAATGCTTTATAATATGTTGTACCACCACGCGTAGAACGCGTTGACAAATCGTATCGTGACGCGGCCAACCGACCCGCGGTACGAACTACAACTGACAGCCCCACAGAGTGGCAGAGAGAGAAACGATCCGCGGGTTGACGACGCAACACACTCGTCAAGAATCAGCTGTGTCCCCCCGCTGCTAACACTCTCTCTCTCTTTCTGTGTGCGCCACCGTTCGCCTCCGCCAACCAAATGAACTGAGAGAGAGGCTATCCCGTGCTCGAAACCCAGGAACGTCCACGGGATAA